TTGCCACTGTAAAACCAAATATTTAAAAACAGAGTAATAAAATTGGTGAGTGAGGTAGCCGGGGCGCACTTTATTTAAAGGTGGCAACGCATTTGCAGCCCTACAGCTGTTGAAAATGTCCATGGGCGGTGGTTATCACTTGACATCAGGTGATCCGCCAGCTCTTATGCCACTTTCTCACATAAAATAAAAATATTAAACACGCGAAAATCTTATATCGCCGCTGTCACTAAGCCTTTATCGCGGGTTGATTCCTGCGAGTTGCGACTCCGTATCTGCGTTCTGATTGCTTCAATCCGACCTTTTCACTCGATTCGCCGTCAGCTCAGATACAGCTATTCTTGCGCTGTCCGCAACGATAACCCCCGTCGTGTTATTGTTTTAAAGAAAGTTAACGTTATTTGTTTATACAACAACCGATATACAGACCGTGAAGGTCGTTCTCTCGAATGCACGCAAGCCAATTCCTTCCAGCCTTTTTGTCGAGGTACTTTAGTACAACTGGGCCCTATTACTAAGATTCCGCTGTCTGTCTGTCCGTCTGTCACCGGGCTGTATCCCGTGACAGTTGAAATTTTAACAGATGATGTATTTCTGTTGCCGCTATGACAACAAATGCTGAAAAACAGAATAACAAAATATTTAAGTGGGGGCTCCATACAACAGATTTTTTATAGATGGTGTGACTAATATAGAATGTTATAAATTATATACTATGTACGAATTTATTGAAACCCCCTCTACACGTGTATCTAGCGCATTAGATTAGGCACACTTATCGAAGACCCAACACGTGTAATGTCTGCACGAAGGATATCATTGGGTTAATTACGTGTTTTTCACTCGTTGCACACTATCTCGAAATATTTATCGCGTGTCATGGCCGACACGGTCCGTCTGTTGTCAACGAAAATAACAACAGTGAGCCGTGGAAATGAGCTCGCTTGCTTAGGGCCGATCGGCGGCACGCGGCGTGTGTAATTTTTTTACGAAATACAGATATGAGAGGGTTGAAAGAGAGCTGGCGGCTTGTCCGGTGTTAAGTGTCGTCCATGGACGTCGTTACGGCTACCCTGATTCAACACCCAATATAAATATTTTTTGGGACATAATTTCACGCAACGTTATCTAGTCCCAATCTAAGCGAAGCTTGCACTATGGATATTAGGTAACTGTTAAACATAACTAAACGTACTTGACTTTTATAAACGAATATTATATAAACATATACAAACACCCAGATGCTAGAAAATCACGCGCTCTGGCACAAGATAACTGTGTGGCAAACCGTAAAGAGAAGGCTCTGGTTATCTGCTGATGCAGACGCTGCTGCAGACGATAGGCAGAAGTATAATAATACTCCATATTGAAGCCGGTCTTCTGTAAGACCGTGCTACTTCTCCAGACGAAGACATCCGCGGAAGCGGAAATAAATTTAAACGCCGCGCAGTATTGTCATACGTCATCTTTATTAAAACACTAGCTGCTGCCCGCGACTACCTCTGCTTAGAATAGGCTGAAGGCGTAACATTCATTCAGAAAGACAGATATACATTAAATATGTATATAAATTATAGCCTATGTCTTATTCTCGTGTATAAGCTATATTATTGTAAAGTTTCATTAGAATCCTTTCAGTAGTATTATACATAAAAACTTTCGCCTTTGTAATTATTAGTAAGGATTATTCCCTGTTGCCTTCAATTTCGCCATAAATTTAATGCACACACCTTGAATTTAAAAAAAAAGTAACTCGCAGTCCCGAAACTCGTACGTGCCCTTCACTAGACTTTGAATCTACTGATATTTTACGCCTTCTTTACATCAGTACAGTGTCATTACGTCTTTATTCAAATAGACTCTTGCGCGTTCTTATTAAAAGTTACGTTCTTGAATAAGTTACCTCCGGTTCTGAAGGCAATTTCTGTCGAGACCGGCAAGACGAATGAACGTTGAGTTCAGTCAGGAACGGATTTAGGGGAGGGCAACTGGGTCTACAGCCTCGGGGCCTCCACAATAGAGACTAAAAAAAATCAAATTCAGAATAGTCAAAATAGAAAAACAACTTTTCCTTTCATATTTTTTTCGCGTTTTACCTTTACCTACAGTACTTTATACAAACATGACTAAATTAAATATTAACAGAAATCAATGGAAAATCATTTGGGGCCGAGGGGCCTCCACTTCTTTGTTGCCCCGAGGCCTACAGACTTCTTTATCCAGCCCTGTCAACAGTTGCTCTTTTTTTTAAAAGATCAGATTACAATATAACATTTATATTATAATAATATTCTTACTCTAGCCTACGCCTATTTAGTAAAATAAAATATATTACTGTATTATTTGGTAAACACCTCCCAAAAAAAAAGAAACATGAAGGACGTAATTTATGACGATGCCGGATATTCTGACTTATGACCTTTACAGCCAAGGCTTCGAGCCGGTTTCTTTTAAGCGTAAAACTCTTTTGCACGTGCCATTTTTTACGGAAGTCGAATATACGAAGTATATCATACATAACATATCACATTATTTAATAGGGTTCCAAAAAATTTCAAGTTACCAAGTTTTTTTGACATAGTATACAGCGCTACTACAATTGCTATTAAATCACACGTGATTGTAACTAATGACAGTTGTTAGCCGACTTCAAAAAAGGAGAGGAGGTTCTCAATTCGACTGAATGTTTATCATTAGGTAAAAACATACTTTTCGGAATCTGTAAAGCATTCACAACGATCGATTTCAGGATAAGTATTTTAGGCCCTGCATTAGGCAGTGGAAACGCAGTTGTTTGTAGGTAAATTGCACAAAAGAAATTTCTATTATCGTGCTTTTCCTAGTCTCAAATGTCTTACGTACACGTGAGTCGTAAAATTGTTATATCTCGTATATATACACGGCATTTACATTTTTCTCTGATGCGACAAGCTCAGAGCACGTCGCCTAGGATTGAAAAGAGTTACCACGTCAAAAGACCCCACCAAGGGCGGATTTAATGAAATAAAAATAGCCTCTACTTATATCAACTGCATAATACTTAAACCAGCCCCAGATATGCTCCACAAAAATTGGAATTTACCGGAAATGACAAGAAAATGTTGTATTCAACCGACTTCAAAAAAGGAGAGGAGATTCTCAATTTTTTTTTGTATTTTCTTTCACGTTTGTTACTTGAGAACTTTAGAGTAAAAAATTGGTTATCTTATTAACGAAAAACAAAACCGTCTTCAACTATTTCGCTCAGTATTCATTTTATAATTGACATTCAGGAGTTCCCTAAGCATCTCGGGAGCTCATGATCCTATACCAATGAAATTAGCATGGGACCACATGGGAAGCACCGGCTTTCAAATAAAAAAAAAATCATCAAAATCGGTTCACCCAGGCGAAAGTTATGAGGTAAAAAACAAAAAAAATACAGTCGAATTGAGAATCTCCTTCTTTTGAGTAGGTTTTCCTTTTTTATTTATTTATTAATTTATACCTTTATTGATCTAATGTTTACAAGATTAAATCTATCTGAAATTACACATTATCTAATAAACCTAATCCACGCGGCATGGTGCCAAGAACGCTAGCTGCATTTCCTCGCTGAATGTTAAGTTATGCTTAACCTTTGAGCGAGAAAAGAACCAGTAGGATTTAAAATGAACTTGTTTTACAATACGAAAAATCAATCGGTGAGGGTGACACATCTGTTACACCGCGACTTCAAAATCCTCCAACATTGTTACACTCATACGCTCAAAGGGTGACTGACACACAGTTATTGAATTAGTCTAAACCTTACTTGATCCGATGTGAAAGGGGCGTCGCTCCGCATCCTCGTTTTCCTGACACGGGCAGCTAATATAATGTTGCTGCCACCCCGTGCTCACCCCTCGATAACTGGAAAACACACGACGCGTTTCTTTTTACGGGAATTTGTTTAATTCTCTATACCGCATTAAATGCAACTGTTTTTACGGATTTATCGAAGTTTTCTTTGTCTTTCTTTACATAGTATAAAACAAAGTCGCTCCCGATGTTTGTACGCTTATATGTTTTACACTAAGCAACGGATTTTAATGCGGTTTTCACTAATAGAGGAGTGATTGATGCATCCATATTATAGTAGAAAAAGTCGAGAAATTCAATAACTACATTGTACCCATGCCAAGCCGGGGCGGGTCGCTAGTTTTAAATAACTTAGTGTTCAAACACTTTGTCGTGTTACTTGTGTATCATACTCATTATTTACTAATCATTGTCTTAAATTTTCCCCTGCCCTTTTTAAAAACGTTTACGTTTTTGGGAACTTAGGAAACTCGGTGAATCTTGGAAAAAACATTACCCATCTTTATCTGTCATTAGTTTTATGATAACTGAGTAAAACAATTTCGGCATTGTATATTTTTCATTTACTTATAAATGCAAAATATATTGTATTTAAAAGGTATAAGCATGTATAATTTTTTTCTAAATCCTCTGTAGGCAACGTCAAAAAATAATATCGTGAAATGTTGCCGCCAATCATGATTCGAAGTTATAGATGTTAAGAAACAGGTAAGGATGTTAAATCTCTAACTGATTGATTGACAGGTAATTCTTGTCTGGAACTGATAGGTTGAGAATGTGAATTCTTCCCATTAAATGTAAGGACCGACCCACTAAGGAAGGACTCTTTAATATTAATTAAGGTGAAACAGTACTTGGCTAGTTGACTAGCAGAAAAAAAATTCTTACATGTATTACGTAGACATGTACAGCCAAACTATCATAACTTAACCTAACCTAAATATGATAAAACTGTTAGACTGACCAGAAACCTAGATCTCAGATCACTCGTACACGCCTTCACCACTCTGCAGTGACGTCTGTTTGAGGAAAAATAATGTTCAACAATGTTATCTTCGAATGTGACGCAGTCGAATCTGCCAAGAGTACAAGTTAAGGTCGCGATCGCAGATAGCTCGTGAAACAAAACTTTGTCTCTCTCAGCGGCCGCCGATCAAACAATGAAAGTGGGCGTGATACGGGAGCACGCGAACCGTAAATTGTTATGCACCAATAAGTTATCGCCCAGTAACTAAGGTGTCGATGTTTTATTTGCAAATCGGTCTGCTTATGGACCATAACATATTTACTCTTTATGATCTAGCTACATCTATGTGCCTTTGAATCGTATCGTGTACAGGAATCCTTACTAATATTATAAACGCGAAATTTGTATATATGGATGAATGTTTGTTACTCTTTCACGCAATTACTACTGAATGGATTTTCATGAAATTTCACAATAATATAGCTTATACATCAGAATAAGATATACGATATAATATTATGTATATCTGTCATCATTATCATCAGAATAAGATATAATATTATGTATATCTGTCTTTCCGTCTGAATGTTACGACTTCAGCCTATTCTACGAAGACGTATTCGCGGGCAGCAGCTAGCATTTTAATATAAACTATGCAATCCAAAGAAATCGACAATGGGGATGCTGTTGATATCAATACAGTTTATAAAGATTGGCTCAACAACACCCCTGCTTTGCCACTATCTCGATCAGAATTCTTGGTCTACACTACGAATTACACATATAAATTTAAAGTTACATTACATATTTATTTTTTGTGTATTTTTTTTTTATTTATTCTTTATTGAAAACATCTCAAAAATGGTTACAAAGAACGGACTTAATGCCTATCGGCATTCTCTACCAATCTTGTAACGTTAAATTTTGCAGTCACTTGGAACTGAAAATAAAATTGTTACGCCCGTCCGGGAAAGTACCACGACTTCACAGTAGACCGGCGTGAAGTATGAACTTTTCGTCTAGTGAATGGACCTACCATTTTATTATAAGTTAACGCATCTGCAACGCTATGGGTGTTTCAAATGTCCATGGGAGGCTGTCATCACTTAATATCAGGTGAACCGCCAGCTCGATTACCATCTTCTAATTTAAGAATCACTACATGGTATAAAACAAAATCGTCCCGCTGTCTGTCTGTCCCTATATATGCTTAGATCTTCAAAACTACCCAACGGATTCGGATGCGTTTTCTTTAATAGATAGAGTGATACAAGAGGAAGGTTTATATGTATAATTGATGCCTAATATAGTAGAGAAGCGCTGATAATTTTAGAGGTTTCTAATGCGATGTCGAAAACAAACATTCAGCATTGCACCCGTGCGATGCAGGGGCGGGTCGCTTGTTGTTAATAATTAACAACTGCTTCCCCTGACAGCAACCGGTGATGCATTCGGAAGTGGCCAGGATACCAGTTTGCTCAGTATTTTAATATGACCCGGTTCCACTTCTTACTTGCTTAGACTTCTTCAAGCGCTATACCAAATAAACTTCTATTCTAGATCCGCGCCCGTTGGCAGCCGGTGGGGCGCGCGGCGCGATGGAGGACGAGGTGACCTTCATGTTCCAGCTGGGCGTCATGCGCGACGTGGCCTCGGCGCCGGCACACTTGCTCACGCTGGCGCACCTAAAGGAGCTCGCCGTGAAGTTCGTGCACGAGAAGGTAACCACAAGTCGATCCACGTTGCAGCCTCTGCTGTACGAATGGGCAGGCTACTCCGAGAGAGTACCCCGGTCTGACAAGGTCTGACAAGAAGACAGGCGTGAAGTGGAAGTATTGTACTTTTGCGTTTCTTCCGGTAAGGGAGTTAACAGGGGCCCACTGTTTTTTAAAGGTGGCAACACATAACACAACCCTCCAGATATACTGAATAACCAAGGATGGAGATAATATTTAACATCAGTTACAAACTGTCAGTTAGTCTTCGCCTCGGTCAGAGTCAGACACGGTTTCGTTACTCTCACGGTTCAAAATTGTTTTTAACAGTCAGTATCAAATTAAACATCACTTATTATATATCACTACACGAACAAAACAGTGTACAGTCTACCAGTGATAAAACAATTCGAAAATGTTTTACTAGTTTTGAATTAGAAGCATAAATAATTAAAAACTTTCCGATAACTGCCATACTACCGTGACCTACGATAGCTCGCCCGCCGCTCGCTGCAGTGACTCATCAAATCCCTGTGCATCGTCGGTACAGCTGCACTACACCGCTTCAATTCTGACCGCCACTACCAAACAAATCGAAGAACTAATAAAATATTTATAATACCCAAGTCGTAAGTAGTGCATCTTTATACGCGTAGTTCCATTGATTGCTCAAGTTCATATATAAATTTATAGTATTATTCCATCTTAAACGCAAAGAGGCAGTGTGTGTATTGCAAGATGAAATGTTCTGGTTGCTTAAAAAGTGCCAAGGATTTAAATTACATAAAATGCACCCAAACCGAGTGTGGCAAAATATTTTGCTCCCTATGCATAATTTATGCATAGGGAGCAAAATATTTATCAATACCATTACACCGGAAAGAAAAAAATCCTGAAAATGCCCGAACTGTTGCGCATCGGCAAAAAAAGGAGGTGACAATAGCTCTAGAGTTGACTAATGTCACTACCAGAAAAAAATCTGATTTACCGCTAGACTCTGCACGCACTGAGATAAAAGAAATTATTGCAGAGGTCCGCCTGTTGACGACGGAAATTTCGTGTCTTAAACAAAAGTTCGAAGAAGCTACTATATCGCTAACACGCTGCCAAGAACGCCTAGAAGAGTTAGGAACTGCTACAGCTTCGGATGACAAGCGGATACAATATTTAGAAAACCGCATTCAAGAAATACCTTCGCTGCAAGCAACTGTTTTGCAACTCCAAAACGAGTTAAACGTACAAGAGCAAAACTACCTGCGTAATGATATCCGAGTTGTCCGGTATACCAGAAAAACAAAATGAAAACCTTCACCATATAGTACTTTTGGCTGCCCCTAAAATTGGGGTTGAACTGAATGACACCGATCTTGATTGGGTTTCTAGAGTCGGACCGCGAAATAGGACGTCTATTTCATGTGTAGCTAACAGCAAATTGCCACGTCCAATAGTTGCCCGTTTGATATGTCGTTCCAAACGCGATCAAATCCTGCTGTCAGCAAAATCACGAAGAAATATAACCAGCAACGACCTCGAAATCTCTGGAGAACCACATAAAGTTTATTACAATGAAAGGTTGACCAAGGAGAATAGGTTGTTATTTCGTGATTCACGCAACTATGCTAAGCAGTATGGATATGCATATTGTTGGTGTAATCGTGGGTCTATATATACGCCATATATGTACGCCAAAAAGAAGGAAAAGCTGCAATTCATATTCGATCACGTGAAGATATCGATAAAATTTTCGGTTCTTCAAAAACAGAGAACAACAAGGTGCCTTCTTAATATTGATAGCCTAGGTTTTAAATTATTTAAAATTGTAGTTGTTGTTAAAGCATTAAAATATAACATTGTATACTCCCTTAAAGTTCCAACTTAATATAAGATTTAAAGTAGTAAGTATTGTAGTAAGTATTACCCTGTTACATAACTACGTCTACGTAAAACGCAATTGTATGCATATGTTTTTGTTTTCCTATATGGTAATCTATTTTATTTTATTTGTTCTTTGTTTCTCCCTTACATTAAGAATTTTTTTCGCATTGTTCTGGTTACCCATTCTTTTGATAAGTAAGCAAAGTTTATTATTTATAATATACAATACACTACATAATTTACTTATACTTATATACACCGATAAATACAGGTACATTTATATTTATAATTACAAATGTTTATCAAAAGTGTCGTCATATCACATACAGAGGACTCAAAATAAAAGTTATTTCAGGTTAAATAACTTAAGTGCTTTGATACGAAGTGGCAATTTATTCTTTATCAATGCATCTTATGTGAATAGTACTACCACTTATATTTTTCATCGGCATGGCTTTTAATAACGTCATTAATGATGAAATTGATTCGTTGAAGATAAATTGCCATTCACTTTTAGAACCTGAAAACTGCAGTACAGTTTTAACTCCAAACTACAACTTTAAAATATTGGTACTCAATATTAGAAGTCTTCATAAAAATTTTAATACCTTTTTAGTTACTCTTGCAAGATTTAAAATAGATTTTGATGTTGTAGTCATAACAGAATGTTGGCTAAATGAAATGTCAATTATTCCACGACTTTGTGGATATATCTCATACAACACTCAAAAGAAGAATAACCAAAATGGCGGTGTAGTAATTTATGTTAAGGAGTCTTGGAATACAACGTCTGCTGAGCCAGATATATTAGAGGCAAATTGCTTACAAGTTACTTTATCAAACACGATCACAATTTTAGGCATTTATCGATCACCTTCCTTTAGAAACCCTGACACTTTTCTGCAATCTTATGACAATTACTTGCTAATCTCTAAATAAAGCCAAACTATTAGTTGCAGGAGACTTTAACATAAACATTTTAGCAAATTCTATGAATCATTGCAATGACTACCTATGTTTAACAGCTGCGCATGGACTTACCCCCGTTATCACACTCCCCACGAGACAAAACTCTTGCCTTGACCATATATTCGTTAAATGTACGAATTCACTCGTGGGCGCCGTATGTGTGTCAGATTTATCAGATCACGATTTGGTCATGGCAGGAATCGCAATTACTGAAGAAAAGACTGCAATATATGAGACATTGTCAGGTATTAAAGAGCGTTCCACAATCATGTTGAAGAGAAATATGATTGCAATAAAATCAGAACTATCAGAAATTAACTGGCAGCGTCTACTAGAAAAACTTGCACTGAATGATGCAGTAAATACTTTTACCCAGCGGCTTTGTGATATAATCTACAAACATTCCTTCTCGTGTCATCGATCAAAACGAAATCTTAAGCCTTGGATAACACCAGGTTTGATACGCTGCATGAGACATCGCGATAAACTTCACCTTAAAACACGAAAAAACCCCCAAGATGAAATGCTTCGTTTAACATATACTCGGTATCGTAATTTCTGCAATGACCTGCTTCGTAAAGTTAAACAAGAATATGAAAACAAAGAACTTACCAAGAACAAAAACAACCCCCGAAAGCTTTGGAAAACGATAAAAACAATATGTCATATATCCAACAACAAAAAAGATTTCAGTGAGTTGTTACGGGCTGAAGGAACTTCAGATCCCGAGAAAGCTCTCGATATCTGTAACGCTCACTTCTCTACAGTTGGGGAAAAATTAGCAAGTAAAATTTTAATGGACCTCAACATAAGTGAGAAACAGTTAAAAACTCAAAACCAGCAAAACTCTTTTTTCCTTAAACCTACTGATGTCTATGAGATTGATTCATTTATTAGAAGACTCCAAAATGATAAAGCACCTGGAATTGATGGACTAGACAACTTTTTGATTAAGGAAATTAAGGAATTTATTTTAGAGCCACTTACCTACATTATTAATTTAAGTCTATCCACAGGAGAATTCCCAGAAATGTGGAAGCTGGCTTCGGTTTGCCCAATTCATAAGGCAGGTAATCGGGACATTCCAAATAATTATAGACCTATCTCGCTATTAGGAGTTTTCTCTAAGCTGCTTGAAAAAATAGTTAATAAACGATTAATATACTACAGCGAGTCAAATGGTTTGATCTCATCGAATCAATTTGGGTTTAGGCGTGACAGGTCAACGGATGAGGCGGTCACACTAGTAACATCTAATATCTCTTCTAAATTAGATTCGGGTAATGCCTGTATAGGAGTTTTTTTAGACCTAGCCAAGGCTTTCGATACAGTTTCCCTTCCGATACTTTTAAGAAAACTGGAACGGTTTGGTATAAGAGGCATTGCTTTGCAATGGCTTAAAAGTTACCTTAGCAATCGCAGACAAATTTTAAAAGTAAATAATATATTGAGCAGCCCACGGGAAGTGAATTTTGGCGTACCCCAAGGCAGTATTCTTGGCCCAACACTTTTCATATTGTATATGAATGATATCCACCAGAATCATTTAACGGATTCCGACATAATATGTTACGCAGATGATACCGTATTACTATTCTATGGTACTTCCTGGAACCACCTCTTTCCCAAAGTAGAAGCAGGAATGAGGATTATATCTAATTGGCTTAAGTCTAATCTTTTAACCCTTAATGCCCAAAAAACAAAGTACATCTGTTTCCACAAAACATCAGCTACGGCACCTCCACCTCATTCTGTCGTAAAGATACACTCTTGTATGATTAATCAAAGCACGTGTGACTGTAAATCTATACAAAGGGTTGACGAAATCAAGTACCTGGGTGTTATCATAGACCAAAAAATGAATTTTAAATCACATATTGGATTTTTGGTTGGCCGAGTACGTAAAAAGTAATAAACATAATGAGAAAACTACGAGATTCGGCGTGCATAGATATACTTAAATCAGTTTTCTTAGCTCTCTGCCAGTCGCTCATTTCTTATTGTATCTCTGTCTGGGGCAGCGCGTCCAAATGTAACATGATTAATTTAGAGAGAGCTCAAAGGTCTGTCCTACGGGTTATGCTTAAGAAACCTTATAGGTAACCAACGATTGATCTCTATAGGGAGAGTGGTGTTTTAAATGTGCGACAATTGTATATTCTTAGAACATGTTTAATAATCCATAAGAATGTCACAAACTCGGAAACCTACACCCAAATGTTGAAGAGCCGTGTGTTCCGTCTGCCTGTTGCACCTGTTAAGACTTCTATCGCAAGACGTTTTAGCCCTTTCTCATCAAACTCTGTCTATAACAAAGTTGTAAAGATTTGTGATATAAAAAGGTGTACTGTGAGACAAGCCAAAAAGATTCTCCTAAATTGGCTTCTTACTCTCTCGTACGATGACAAAGAAAAACTTATTGCAAGACCATTATAAATACATACAAGAGACTTATAAGATACATAATTTTATTTTTATATATATATAAATATATATATATACATATATACATTTATCTATATCTATATTATCTTATTTACATATATATGTATTTATATTTATCTATATCACACTTTTTATATACTTTATATACCTGTAAAACAAAATCTCTAACCGAGGCAATATGTCTGATTATGTCAAATAGGTTTTTGGTGCTCACGATACAGGCGTCGCCTAGTGTGAGCACCGCAGATAATGTACGGTTTTCGAAATGTCTCAACAGCAATCTAGTTCTAAGTTTCTAAGTATTTTGTACATCCTATGTTTTTGCTGGTTAAATAAATGATTTATTATTATTATTATTATTAAACGCCTACACGCAACTCAACTGTGCATATGATACAATAATAATCAATAGAGAAATTTTATCGATTTTGTCAGCATTCATATTAAAAGGTACTTAATGTTAACGAACATTCTTAATTAGTGTTTAGTATCAAAATACAACATTTACGGTTTTATGATATATTACCCTGTTGACGGCCTAATTTCATAGTTCACCCACACTTGCTTCTTTTCGATTACTTATCCTGGTAACTGTCATGATAAAGATTTTTTTATTTGTTGAACATTATAATCTAAGGTTTAGTGTCAGTTGTCCTGACTTGAGATATCTCACATCCAACAGATCCCGGACAACGGGCTGAACCGGCTCTCGGAGCGAATACTGCTCTTCCGTCACGACTACTGCTCTCCAAACGTGTTGCAGCTCGTCAACTCCGCCTCCGACATCACCGATGAGACGCTTGTAGAGATCGTTCTCACCGCCAACGGTGAGCATCGTCATTCTATAGACTGAAACTCCAATTAGCCATGTTCAGCACGTTTTAGGTTCAAAGAAAAATTTATTTTCTCAAAAAAGAATATTACAATATTCACAAGAAAATTTTACATAGTACATATTAAATAACAATTTAAAAAGTTTGGAAAATCGGAATTATTGCTAACTTTCCATTAAAAACATTTTTAATTTTTTTTAAAACTCGTTAAAGAGGAATAATTTTTGACATCGGGTTTTATCTTATTATATAGCTGAGCTCCTTCAAACTGTATATTTCTTCTTCCATACAAAGTCCTGATTTTAGGTAGTTCTAAGTTATGTTTATGTTTTCTTCTTCAAATCCAATACGTTCCCTCATTCCCCTTCCCGTATACTTATATCGCCTGATCGCTAACATATATTTTATATTATCGCCAGAATCTCCGCATCCGTGCCACTGATTAACCAACGTTCCAAATTATAATAAATATTTTTTTCCCAACTAAGCAAAGCTTATACTTCGGGCGCTAGGTAACTGATAACTTTGTTTTGTAGTAATAAATACATATTATTATAAATGCGAAAATACCTCTGTCTGTCTGTCTCGCTTTCACGCCAAAACTACTGAACCGATTTAAATGAAATTTGGTACACAGATAGTCTAGAGCCTGAGAAAGATTATATGACATAAGCTATTTTTTATTGGAATTTTTTTTAAAGAAAGATATTTATTTAAGGGCTTCAAAGCGAGCGAAGCCGCGGGCGAAAAGCTAGTACGTAATAAATACATAATCATCACTGGAAAGGCAAAATTACTTAACCCCCAAATAAATGTATCGCCTTTTTCTAATTGCACGATTGAACCCATACCGTCAGGCGTAAGACAGCACCACGCCAATCGGATCCTCGAATTGGCAGTGGAATCGCCTTTACCAAAACAAAATCCTAATTCACTGACTAGGCTTCTTCATCATCATCGCCCCTTCCACTGCACCTCGTTTATATCTCCCGTTTCCTTCCGCAGCGTTGCTTTGCGACGGCACAGAGGGCGCGCCGGTGCCGCGGCCCCACGCGCTCGCCGTCCACTCGTACAAGGCGCCCACCTTCTGTGACTTCTGCGGCGAGATGCTGTTCGGGCTCGTCCGGCAGGGACTAAAGTGCGAAGGTATGAACGAACGAAGATGGATTCGTTTCTGTAAAGTTTGATCAAACTCTACAGAAACAAAACCGTCACAAGAAAGGTGGGTTGTGTTTTTAAATATTAAAGAAATGTATAGTTTTATATTTTTTCTTTCATAAATGTAATCTCTCCGTAGTAAATATATCTTTTAGCACATCGAGAGTATATACCATTGAAAAAATTTTCTTTTAATTTATCTTTAAGGTGGGTACTCACAGCCGCCTTCACTTCATAGACATCCGGAAACCTTCCCTCCGTAACTTATTTCTTGAAATTTCAAAAAAAATTCACCGGGACCAAGATCTGGACGCTACAGCATCTGCCTGACCCAGTAAATTATTGGTCATTCATCGTAGTGCCTTTAGGCAAATAACAGATTATTAGAATTCCCTTGCTATGCCAGAAATGGTAGACATATTTATGTGTTATTTATAGTACTAATGAGTACTAATGAGTTGTTTATCTAGTGATACCTTTAACGAGATGATGCGTCATTTCTAATAATCATCTTAGGTCGCGAACTTATCAGCCGCCCCGCGTATGTATGTCCGTCTCGACGATGTCTCGGAACTCCTAAACACTTGAAACGATTTTGATGGATCATTATAGTCAAAATTATCCATCGCCAGAAAGTATGTTTTCTGATTATGATGGATAATTTTAGTCACCAAAAAAATATAAAATTCGAAATGGTGGATTGCCCCCAAAATCTATCTTTTCTAAGAGTTTTTACAGAGCACAGTTCTTTAAGTTCTTTACTATTCTTTTTATTGCATTGTAAGAGTCCCCTTATAGTTTAAGAAGTTTCCCCTTGCATTAGGATAACATTCCTTCTTAACAATACACTTCACGCAGACACACTTAGATCCGATATAACTATATCTGTGCGTCACACAAACAGTCCCCTGTGGGAATCGAACCCACGACCCGCGGTGCCGAAGCTGATGCCCCGGCAACGGCGCCGCGGAGTCGTCAATGTCGACTCGTTAACTACCAAGAGGCATTTTTTAAATAGTGCAAATCTCTGCACTTAAGATTGAGCCGTTTAGCTTAGTGGCTAAAGCGTCATGCCGCGAATGCCGAAGACGTGGGTTCGATTCCCACAGCGGCGACAGACTTTTCGTACTCATTCTACAAATTTTAATTTTCTAAAAATTTTAATACCAAGAGACTCTTACTGACTGATAGGCTGCGGCCTCAACTACCACAAGCGGTGCGCGGTGAAGGTGCCTTCGAACTGCGAGGCGCCGGCGGGCGCGGGCCCGGGGGCCTCGGCGCCGGCCCGACGCGCATCCGGAGCCCCGCGGAGCCCCTCGAGAAGCTCCGCACACAGCCACGCCTCGCGCGACGACTCGCTGGTAAGACGCCTAGCGGACCTGGTCACCGGCAACAACTGACCGGTTCGCGCTTCACCAAGAACGCGATACCTTCTCTAACAATTCCGAGCACCAAGCAGGGAGCAACACGTTTCACATACTGTTTACATTCCATAAAGCGCCTCGCGGCTTTAAGTTAACGATTATATATAAGTTTCGGGAAAAGACACATTTCCGACCGCCGAGCAGGAAGCAACACATTTCTTATAATGTTTACATTCCATAAGGCGCCTCGCGGCTACAGTTAACGATTCCATATAAAATTTGGGGAAAAGACACTAAACTGCCCATTTCAAATGTTTTTGTTTTGTTCTCGCGTGCATACCCCAGTCACTTGCCGCACCACGTCCAGGCCTACACCTGCACTCTAGAAACCCTGCTGGGTACTTTCATACCTTCACCAACATTTCAGATTACCGTCGACTCGTCGTAATGCAAACTGTTATATAAACTGGTTTATTGTCGATGATAACAATCTCGATTTGCTGGCGGTTAATACGCCAACGATCCAATACTTTGACTATATTACTGGCTGGTCATAAAAAATCACTTAAAGAGAATACAAAAAACTTTGATCGCATATAAACTATATTTAATCTATATAATGTAACTACCTGCTTTTGTCAATTAGGACAGAGAAGCTCAATCGGCATTATTATGACTTCCATCACACTCCTTTAGTGTCAGTGGTAATTTGACAATGTACATTAAAAACATCTTATTACAATACATCTGGTTACAAGGACCAGTAAATATTTTGTACGGATATTAGCAACGATCATCATATCAAGTATTTGATTGTCTTAGATTCTATTGAATCTAGATAAAACGCATTTAATTATGATAGGATAGCTTTCTAATTACCTTGACCAAATTTATTAACGCGAAACAAAGGATGTTTTAACCATTGATGTATACGTTTTTAGATAAAAAAGCAATAAGTGCACAAATTATTTGAATCTCTTTGTAATATCGATGTATAAACATAATTATACTAGATGTCTGGAATGTATCTCATAATATTAATAAGAATTGTTTTAGATTATATGACTATTTTAATATTTAGTCGTAAAATATTCTAAATGGGACTAACAATGGGTGGTGGGTAGCGCAAGATTGAATGCTCTTGTAATTTTATACATTTTTATATCAATAAACTAACTTGAATGTAATTTGAGTTTTATTTCGTAAACCGCAAAGCCCATCATCCATTGTCGTCATACGATGCAGTTAATGCATCTAGTTTGGTTATTCAAGATCGTGGCTTGATAATTCAACAGGCCATCACTCCAACAGTCCATTTGAGTGGTGCCCTATCGTTTTATTCGAGAGGAGATGGTACAGAATGAGTTGATACGAACCATGGAAATTGTGATTTAAGTTTTTTTTTTACGTGAGCATGTGGCAAGCGAGCAGACGGTTCATCTGATATTAAGTCATAACCGCCGCGCATTGACGTCCGACCCGTAGGGTTGCGGATGCGTCGCCACCTTTTAATGAAGTGGGCCCCGGCTACCTCACTCACCAGACGAAACGCAAAAGTATAACACTACCACGTCACGCCGGTCTTCCGTGAGGTCGTGGTACTTACCCGGACGGACCTGCCCATTCGTGCAACAGCGAAGACGGTTGGCCCTACCGCGGTGAAATATGTGGTGTTTTACCTCAAGTACTGGAAGAAACGCATAAGTATAGGGACTACTACATCACGCCGGTATTCTGTGAGTCGTACCATAAGGATCGTCACGTAGATCCTTCCACAGTGATAAATCAATGCCATAGATATAATTTTGTTAATGTAAAAGTTAACAAATAAGAAAATCATCTGGATCAACAAAAAATAAAAAATAAAGAAAGCAATGATCTGAAATCGAAAAAAAAATAAAAAAAAAGAGTGTGTAAATGATCGTGACACGAACCACGGCCGTTCTGTTTTGGGGCCGCCCGATTACCGACCGAGCTATTATAACATTTTCTTTAGCGGCGAAATTAAAAAAAAGGTTTTCGAAGATATTTCAAGTCCGCTAATCCGCAGTAGAGCCACGTGGTGGACTGTGCCTGTGTGTCATAATCAGTACAGAGGAGGCCTTTGCCCAGCAGTGGGACATTTATAGATTTATAGGCTGTGACTTTACGTATGCGCAGGCGAGTACCAGGACATCAGCTACTCGACGACACCAACATAGATAACACTTAATAGAACTAACACTATTAAATTGCTATGTCGTGAACGTATAGGTGTTCTTTATTATTAATAGTAGATGGTAAAGTAACATCCTATATATGCACTGCTGAGCAAAGGACTCTGTACAGAGGGTATTTAGGGCATAGTCCACCAAGCGGCCCCACTTCACACGTATTCGAAATATTTTTTTTGTTATTATTTGGGGCAAAGTTGTTGACTGTGCCCTAATACATTCTGTACAGAGGTGGCCTTTGCCCAGCATTGAGACATATACAGGGTGATATTATAGATGATGGACATATTAACGGATTATATGCAGAATTTGATTCTCTTCTTAAATCTGAATCTGGTACGTACTTGTGACCTCATTTTTTTTTTTTTTCAAAGATTATTTTTAATTTTTTCAAACATTATTAGAAATTCCTGACTTTCGTCTCAATACAATAACCTATTCACGAGCAGTAAAACTGAACTAACGCTGAACGCATAATTACTAAACCGCTTATCAATAGGGTGACCACTATTAACGGGATAAACAAACAAACTCTTAACGGGATAAACAAACAAAGTTTGAATTGATATTTTTCTGGTAATTTCTTGTCAAAATAAAATATTAATATATATTTTTTTTAAATTATGGAATGCTCAATTAACATTATGTCAAAGTAAGTACTTTCTTCTAAAAAATCACCCTTCATAGGCCGTTACTTTCCTGTTACTTTACCTCTATGTTGGAGGTGCCGTAGCCCGACCGACTTATCGGTTTCAATTTCCTCTCGAATGTTCGACCGGAGGACCGCGTTCTCCGCAGGTGGGGAGCACCAGCAAACGCTCGGCGGGCGCTTGGCCGCCGCCCACCTCGCTCGGTATACCCCACACCTTCCAAGTGCACACGTACACGCGGCCAACCGTGTGCCGGCTGTGCAAGAAGCTGCTGCGCGGGCTGTTCAAGCAGGGCATGCAGTGCGGCGACTGCCACTACAACGCGCACCGCAAGTGCCTGCCCTTCGTGCCCAAGGACTGCGGCGCGGAGATACGGGACGCGCACAGTGCGTGTAACGTATTGCCTATCTGACTGTACAGGAGCGGGGATCCCCCGTTTTAGTTCGCTTAGCTTTAGGGTGTTTCCTCTCACTCTATTATTCGTGCCATCTTCTTATTTGTTTGTATGAAAGCAATGAATATTAGTTTTATTTATCCTTAGAAGCACTTTGATTTATCTATCTTCCTACCTCCTTCTCTCTCTCTCTCTCTCTCTCGCTTTCTCGCTCTCTTTCTTTTTGTCTTTATCACTGAAATTCCGATCCGCCCCTGCTTCGCACTTGTGCAATGTACATATTGAATTTCTTGGCTTTTCTCTACTATACTATACATGTATACTACATATAAACCTTCCGCTTGAATCACTCTATCTATTGCTGAAAACCGCATTACTATCCATTGAGTTGTTTAAAAGATCTAAACGTACAAACATCGGAAGCGGCTTTGTTTTATACGTGTTACCTTAAACTTAATTCTACGTAACTATTTATTTCGATTGGTGAGAATTTCATCTTTACTTTTGTTTCTATTTTATAATTCATATAATATTTGACAAGCAAAATGATTAGGACTCTCGGACTATGTCTGCTTTCTCATTTCTCTGGCATAATTTCCTATATTCGGCTTCCATCGCATATTGCATTTGATGCTTTGCATCTCTTGGCACCACCAAGTGTCATGGAGTACACTGAATTTTGCTGTTCAATGTTATTATTCTAGAAGAAATCGTTTTATATCTATTGCACATTTTCATACCATGTCTATTGGTTTTATTTCGGTGAATACATACAAATTTTCAAATCATTCCTTCTCTCCTTCATGTTACGATTTCGAAATATTAATATCCGTTATTGCTTTAATCAAGTTAAGAGAGGCACTATAGCTCAGTGTCCGTGCGCTTGGTTTAGATTCAATGTACACGAGTGACCTGACTTCAAAACCCGACAGTAGTAACAATAAAATTGTTAATTTTAAGTGCTGACTTATGACATGCTCAGCGGTAAGGATAAACGATGTGAGGTAACCTGCTTATTTTCGAAATAATAACCCAAAAAAATTATATCGAAGTTATGAAGTGAAGTCCGCCAATCCTCAGTGGAGTCTCGTTTTGGACTATGCCCTAAAACCCTCTGTACAGAGAGAGGCCTTTACCCAGCACCGTCTGGAAGCTGTCGAAAAGCGCCGGAAGACGCCAATCTAGATAACATTTCTTTCAGCTAACACTATTAAATTGCGATCGACTCCTTATTTCTACTTTTAAATTTTCCGCGCCGTCCACTAATCCGCAGTGGGATCGCTAAGTGAATTATGCCCCAAAACCCTCTGTGCAGAGGCAGCCTTTGTCCAGCGGTGGGACATGTATAGGCGGTTACTTTACTATTGCTTTAATATAATTTTTTTGGCGAAACGACTTGTAGGATGAAAACTTTTTTTATGTGAAAAAGTGGCAACGAGCTGGCAGTTCAACTCTTGTTAAGTGATAACCGTCGCCCATGGACATTTGCAACACCTGTACGATTGCAAATGCGTTGCCACCTTTAAATAAAGTGCCTCACTCACCAGACGAAACGCGGAAGCGTAACACTTCAACTTCACGCCGGTCTTCCGCGAGGTCGTGCTAATTACCCGGACGGACCTGCCCATTTGTTCCACGGTGAAAACTGTTACGTGGCCCTACCACAGTTTAATGCCCTAGTGGAAGCAGATTAACAATAAAAAAGGCCAATTTCCGAAGAGTCCACACGGCGTTTGCGCAGGCGAGTACCAGGACAGCAGCACCGGCTCGGAGCTGTCGGAGAACGCGCGGCTTCCCGACGACGAGTCGGACGAGGGGGCGGACGGCGCCAACGACGACACCGACAACGAGGTATCGTATGGATGTTCTAGGCTCGCGGAAGATTGCGTCCACGTATTCCCGTGTCCCGGGCCGGTGCGACAGAGCATTGCACCTGCTCTGTCGCACCGGCCCGTGGGTTTTTTAGTGGGTACCCGTTTCTCAAAGGAACACCCACGGACCCCCGCCACTCCCCCGATCCAGTGGCAGGGGATCCATAAAGGATTTTTCCAACGGAAAAAAAAGCGATGTTCTAGGCGGGTGCCATCGACATCCTTACTAATATTATAAACGCGAAAGTTTGTACGTATGAATGTATGTTTGTTACTCATTTCAAAGAAAAGATTTCATCGCATCCGCTTGATTCAGCTCATCCGCACCAGCATCGGATCGACTGTTTTGCCGAAATGAAAATATGTATGTTATCACATCAAATTTTTATTTAAAGACAAATAATTATGTTTTGTATTTTTGTTGTTAAATTTGCCAATCTTTAAACTTTTACGTGCGCAGTAGTTTTGATAGTTATTCTGGTTCTAAGCGAATACGCCAACAAAAAAATACGTTCTTCTTTACGAGAGAGAGTGGTAAGCGCGCTGGCCGTCCACCTGATGTTCATTGCTAACCGTTGCCCATGGACATTTGCAACAACCAATGTAGCAATATCAATTAAGTGGGCCCCGGCTACCTCACTCACCAGACGAAACGCAGAAGTATAACACTTCCACTTGACGCCGGTCTTCTGTGAGGTCGTGGTTCTTACCCGGACGGACCTGCCCATTCGTGAAACAGACTGCTGCATGGTCCTACCACAATAAAATCTTAGCTATAGAAATCACCGCGTTATCCTAGCTCATGACCGCTGACCGTTCCTTTTTAGGGTTCCGTACACAAATGGTAAAACGGGAAATTACTAAGATTCGTGATAGACAGTTGAAATTTTAACAGATGACGTATTTCTGCTGCCGCTGTAACAACAAATACTAAAAACGGAATAAAATAAATATTTACGTAGGGCTCCCATACAAGAGACATGATTTTTTTGCCGTTTTTTATAGATTCGTGGTCGAGTCCGTTTTTTTTTCTTTTTTTTGGCGTTTTGTTATCCTATTCACTAATCAGAAGTGTGTTATCTTCTTGGCCGCTAGCAATTTGAGGCAACCGTTGCCCGCCTTTATATTAGCAACGCAATCCTATACATTTTATGAATAACCATTGAATACAAGCTCTTTTTGCTTAAGTAGACAAACCTGACGCATTGAAGTAATATTTCGTATTACCACAACTACTCGATCAAGTTTTCACTTCTGTCGTGTGGTCTTAAACATAGTTCTTTATTTCCAAATTATATATATGACCTCCGTCATGTTTACAACAAGCGATGACCCCTTCTAGGTGCAGCTCAGAAGAAGAACGGAGGATTCCGAGGAGCCTCAACGGGATATTCTGCCCGATCGTTCTGCCAGCAGACCCAGCAGGTATAGTAGTGGGTATAGAAGCCCTGGGCGGTGGTGGGTTTGTGGGTTGTCCAAGCATCAGTAACGCACTTTGTGTCTCCGTGACTATAGAACGAATCTCATATGTCTTTATACTTTAAGTTAGTAGTCAACCCTGTCACTCAAACGTGTAGGCAGAGATAACTGATTTCCACTCTTTTTTCTGGCTGGCTATTATAAATTCATACAACCACGTTTTTGTCTTTGAATGTGCTTCCTGTTTGTCATATTTTGGTCAAATGTAAAGTAGATATAAAAAAAAATTGTGAACGTAGCCAGGCCGATTGGCTGTTTTATTGCTTTTAAATGTTCTTAGTGTCTGCCGGAAAATTGGAAACAACTGGGACTATGCCTGGTTTTTATGGGTATAACAAATAATTCAACTACTTGCAAATATTGGTCACGATTTAATATTACCTCGGCGTACTTACGCAACCGATAGTCCAACTCCACTTGACAAGGTACGTAAGTTTACGGGTACTGAGAATAAGGTCCCACAAATTTACGGGTACTTATGATAAGGTCCTACAAATAGACGGGTACCGATGATTAGGTCCCCAATTGAGTCATTGCAGGAAAAATGGAAAGACGTACCGGACGCACCCAAACCCACCCACCACCCCGAGGGCCACTTCGCACCGGCTAAGTTCCGCGCGCATTTGGAGCTGATCTCTTGACGCTTCCAGCTCCTCGTCGTCGCCCAGCGCGAACATCCCACTGATGAGGATCGTCCAGTCCGTGAAGCACACGAAGAAACGCGAGGGCCAGTGGCTGAAGGAGGGCTGGATGGTGCATTTCACAAACAAGGACAAGACGGTGAGATCACGATATTGTTGATTACCTTCCAGCTTCATGGTGTTACAGTCTAACTGCACGGATAGTTGAATTTCGACCTTATCCCTTCCTGTGGGTAGGTCTCTTATCGATTGCGATCCAAACCGAGGTTCGAACCGCCCTCTGATGGGCCCTTGGATCGTGTCGTCCCCCCTGTTAGTCGATTGTGTTTGCTGTGTGTGTTGTAAGCAGGGTGTTCCGCCGAAGCTGTTAAGGCCGGGCTTACAGCAAACAACAAGTCACAAAAGTTGTCACATAATTGCTACAAGATTAACTGCTAGATATTAACAATAGACAAGTTCCCTTTGTAATCCCTGCTCAAGCTGTCTGAAGAATATATAAATAAAATTAGTTTTCATTTAAACACTACACTACTGCTGTCAGTTTTATGCATCATGGTAAACAAATATATCGGGTAACGTATACCATACGTGATTCAGTGGTTGCTGAGTCTAAGGTTCGGTTCTCACGCTGAACAAGTATTTGTGAGTCGCACAGATTGCTGATCTGGGCGTTCACTCCCAAGGAGGGGTGAAGGAAATAACGAGAGCACGAAATGGACATTCAATTTCAGATCAAGCGCCACTATTGGCGGCTGGACAGCAAGTCGATAACGCTGTTCACCTCGGAGCAGGGCACCAAATACTACAAGGAGATACCGCTGAACGAGATCTTGGCAGTGGACACAGCGCGGCAGCCGCACTCTGGTGAGATCGGTCAGAGATGTGTGGCGAGAGATTGTTATATTTCAGGAGACTTGTTCCCTCCGCCGAAACGGCCATCGACCATGCTCCCGCGTTTGGGAGCAATGAACGCTTATTGGCTCAAGAACACTCTTTTGAACTGACTTGGAATTGATAAGATGGCAAATATATGAGCTATAGGTGTCCTATTGCCGTCTAGAAGCGAGAGACTTCGCCAATATTTCAGGAGACTGGTTGGCTCCACAACAAATGGTATTTGACCGTTTTCCCGCATTTAGGGCAAGCTAAATAAAGTGCCAAAGATATAGGAACAAAACTGACATAAATATTACATAATTAGCCCAAAGTAATCCAGGTTAAATCAATGCTGAACCCTTGTCAAAGTTTAGTAAATGTTGTAAAACCAAACTGCGTTCAAGATCTCTCTCCCGCCACACACACAGTCGCATCCAACACTGTTTTACCGTTAGTAATCGCACAATTACATTGCACTTTGACCATGGTAGGGCCACGAGGCCGATACCTTAGCAACTGCGCAACGGAGTCATCATCCGTGTTATGTCCAGTGAGCTAGGCAACCAGGGAGTACTCTATCGAGAGGCGGCAAGACATCTGAAACCTTACGGCTGTTGTAAATTTGAACGGGCGGCGACCGTCAATTATACCCGGTTCCTATACTCAACGAACGGCCGTTAGTTACATAGCTTTGTAACTTTCACAACGACTTGTAGATAAAGGTACGTGTAAGCCCGGTACCTATACTAACAAAAGGAGAGGCGTTTCCCTTACTCCACAAGTCGTTATGAAGGTTACGAAGCTGTGTAACTAACGGACGTTCGTTTAGTATAGGAACCGGGCGTTAGCGTCGGGCGAACCACCAGCTCGCTTTCCATCATACACATTCATACACTTCATTCATACACACTCATACACTTGATATCGGCGCGACGCCGTCGTTTGCAGACGTGATGCACTGCTTCGAGCTGCGCACCGCCAACGTGGACTACATGGTGGGCGTGGACCCCGTGTGGCAGGTGGGCGGGGGCGCGGCGGCGGGGGGCGCCGGGGGCGCGGGGGGCGGAGGGGGCGCGGTGCCCCCGCCCGGCTCCGGGGTGGGCGCCTACCTCGCCCGCTCGTGGGAGACGGCGGTGCGCCAGGCGCTCATGCCGGTCACGCACCGCGCCGGTAAGCGGCTTCGATCCCCGACGAAACTATCGCGTCACGCACCGCGTGTAACCCTGCGAGCTGCACACCCGCCAGTGCTGCTACCACCGGCCATCCTCACCACCGACCAGCCCTCGCTGGCCGAGATTACGCCCGAGGCATGGGGCCTACCCCGACCCTCGAATTAGAAGCAGGCGTCGCGCCAGCCTCCGTACATCTCACACGAAACTATCTGTATGTATATATTGCATAATATTGGGATGACAGTGAAACACCAGTTTTAGGGCCAGTTTTTATGCAGATGAAAGGAAAACACCAGTTTTTGTGCAATTAACGGGACAGTTTTGGTGCAGATGGCAGTGAAACAACATTTCTTTTTGCAGTTTTTGTGCAAACTAAATAATTGATAGTGTCATTTCTTCGATTCAATTTTAAGTACCTACTTTTTCTGACATTAAATTTGTTCACTAGTTCTAAATAAAAAAGGCCTAGGTGGAGTTATGTTTGTTGCAGTTCATCGTCTGGTGAACACAACCTTATATACTTGACGAAGATGTTCGCGACTTGACGTTTTATTCGAACGTATGTCGATAAATATCCGGCTCTGCTATTCAACAAGACATGATGAACTTGTCCGTGTTGAAAAATCTATTTCGATTCTTAACTATAATGTGCCATAATGTCTTAATTTGGAGACAACAATTGATATACTCTCGCGTAAAATTATCAGACACCACCGCTTCGTAAGCCATTCGTTTCAATGAGGAGAAACGCTGACCACTCGTGACTTGGCACAGCGGAGGACGGGGAGGGCGGGGCGGAGGCGGAGGGCGGGGCGGGGGAGGGGCGGCCGGGCAGGGCGCCCGAGATGGCGCAGCTCTACCAGATCTACCCCGACGAGGTCCTGGGTTCGGGCCAGTTCGGCATCGTCTACGGCGGCCTGCACCGCCGCACGCAGCGGCCCGTCGCCATCAAGGTCTACCACCGCTGCCACCACTCGCCACCGTCACCACGTACACCGTCACTTTTGACCACCGTCGTCCACTTCACGACGACATCGGAGGGCGTACTGCCCTTCTTACGTACTTCTCCGTTGGAGTCAATCTTTCATTGTTTTTGGAACGAAGTTCCTTACGGCAGGCTTGGAGGGGATAGGGATTTTGCTGCGCGGCCGAACTGAAAAAAATGTGATAGTAAAACCGTAAGAAAAAATCCGTGCGAAAAAAGTGCGTGGAATAAAACCGTTAAATGAGACGTGCGCAGGCGCGACAGTCGCATACACAAGCGAGTAGTGTATAATTTTGTTATTTTAGTTGATAATTTGAATTACGATTTTTTTTTATTTTAAGTAATTTATTATTTCCTAAAATACTGAATTTCCTAAATACTTTCTTGGACTTAAAAAAAAACTAATCAGCAAAATTTAAGAGAAATATCAAGAAAACCTACATAAAATTGAGCACGATTTTTTTTGCAATTTGTGTCGATTCTACATTAGCCGAAGGAACTTCGTTCCTACCTGGTGTCCCACGACACCACATTTTTATTTGAGAAGGTGGCAAACGAGCTGGCGGTCACCTAATGCTAAGTGATGGCCGCCGCCCATTGACATTTGCAACACCCGTTGCAGAATCGTTGCCACCTTTTAATATATTGGCCCCCGGCTACCTCACACCAGACGAAACGCAGAAGCATAAAACTTCTTTGAAGTATAACTGTTTTAAATTATTCCGTGGCGCAGTTGCCAAGGGGTCGTGGGTTCGATTCCCGCACGGGACAAGTATTTGTGCTACCCACAGATAATTTTTTGGATCTGGACTACTACGTTAAATGTATGTTTGTAAAACGCTCTTAGAACAACAAGTTAAAAAAAAAACTTCCTCTTCACGCCGGTGTTAGGCTCTGTCGTGGTACTCACCCAGATTCTTTTTCATTCTCTCCTCCACAGGTCATAGACAAGCTCCGGTTCCCGACCAAGCAGGAAGCCCAGCTGAAGAACGAGGTGGCGATCCTGCAGAACCTGTCGCACCCGGGCGTCGTCAACCTCGAGAGGATGTTCGAGACGCCCGAGAGGATCTTCGTGGTGATGGAGAAGCTGAAGGGGGACATGCTCGAGATGATACTTTCTCACGAGAAGGGCAGGCTCACGGAGAGGATTACCAAGTTCCTGGTGGCGCAGGTCTGTCGGAGTCTGCGATATTGTTAGGAGAGACCTCTTTTGCATAGTCACCTTCCGTTTTATATTAAATTCAATTTAAGTACGAAAAGTCGAACGTGATAATTCGTATAGCGAATTAACAATCGGCTCAAAAAAAAATCAACCGGCTCAATCTCGTTAATTTTAATTATAATATAATAACAAGCTACTTAACTATCAACTTAACACAAAACTAAAACAAATGAAAAAGAGATTACATGTTCCTTGTCTAGATGAAAGACTCGACTGAGCGTTAATAAATAAAACTACTTTCTCTTGAAAAAAATAGTCATTAGAGTAATAATACACCTTATGTAATAATGTGGTGTATTAATTGTTATAAATAAAATTCTCTTTTAAAAAAAAATTCAACTTCGCTCGTAAAATGTACCAGATGTGATTTTTATTTTTATTTTATTTTATTAAGACATACAAACAAATGTACATAAAATGATAATATGCATTAAACAACGTATACCCGAAGATATGTTTAGCTTTTTTTTATGTCAAAAGTTGCAAAGCGAGCAGGCGGTTCACCTGATGTTCAGTGAATACCACCGCCCATGGGTATCTGCTACACCCGAGGGTTTGCAGATGCGTTGACAACCTTTTGAAAATTGGGCTCCGGCCACCTCACTCACCAGATGAATCGCGGTAGTATTATACTTCCAATTTACGCCGATCTTCTGTGAGGTCGTGGTACTTACCCGGACGAGCCCATTCGTGCAACAGCCGAGGCCCTACCACTATACTACTGGCCATAGTAAAGGTGGCGAGATAAATTTATGTGATGTGAAATAAGTATACCGTCCATCCATCTCCAGATCCTCGTGGCGTTGAAGCACCTCCACGAGAAGAACATCGTCCACTGCGACCTGAAGCCGGAGAACGTTCTTCTCTCCTCCGACGACGAGTTTCCGCAGGTGAAGTTATGCGACTTCGGATTTGCGAGGATCATCGGCGAGAAGTCCTTCCGTCGCTCGGTAGTCGGCACGCCTGCGTACTTAGGTAAGTCAGAGAAGGAGAGAGGGGTAGAGGGTGAGAGGGTCGCACTCTACCTCTGTCTCCTTCTCCACTTTCCCCCTCTACTATCTCTCTCTCTCCTTTTGTCTCTTTCCCGTGAAAAACAGAGATGTCTTCCCCTCTCCTTTTTTGCTATCACTCTCTCTCTCAGAGGGTGATTGTGTGTTGTGAGTGGGCTTGTTTAGGAAGGTGTCTTTGGTCGATGATGGTCGGTGATTATGAGCCGTTTGTAGGGTTATTAAGGCCTAGTAAAGTCTGTGGAGTGAGGCAGTGGCGGCGTGCGTTTACGGGAAAGTGTTTTAGACCCGTAAGTGGGGTCTTTGGTCGATGATGGTGGGTGTTTGTCTCACCTACCTGTCTCTTTCTTACTCTTTGGCCCTGGACCGCAACTTACCGACTCCTCGTAAGAATCACCTTGGCTTCACGGATGGCCGACGTGGATTTTCACTTATTGTGTTTGTAGAGGAGATTGATTCTGCTGATCTACCCTTTTAAAACCTGATCCACCGACACTCGCCTTCAGACGAACATCTCTAAGTCAAAATGTCTTTATTCGAACCAGACTAGTGAATGTTGACCGTCGCTCTTGCAAACGTTCACCCCAAAACCACATTTAAGATGAACACGCCCAATGTCCAATAAGTTTTAAGTTTGTTATGTACTGAAAATCAGCGCTGTGTTGGGGTTTTGACTTCCGGCACAGCATAGTTCTGAGTGCTGACCTAATTTACCGATAACAGGGCGTACAATTCTTCTCCCTTAGATTGATTTATTTTTCTTTTGTCTTTATATCACCATAGTTTTTATGTACAAATTTTGTTTTGTTTTCTTTCCTCTAGTAATACACACTAGAGTAATTAAAAATAAAAAGTGCGTGGAGCCCCCCCGCGCGGAAGAGTTGAAACTTCGAGTGCCTTGCAATCACTCTCGCTCTGTCTCTTTCTATTCCCCCTTCCCAGGAGCTTTGAACGTTTAACGCAACCTTGTTGGAAGTCGCATTAGAAGTTTCACTTCAAAAATTATTTTTTTGTTAAATTTTTCGTTGCTTGCGTCCATTTTTGGTAAATAAATTCATTTTCTTTCTTTCTTCCTTCCATGTATCTATTGCGGTTAGACCGTGAAAAAAATGAAGAATTTCTCACTTTCTTTCAACACCCTAAACTTTTCTTTCTTTCTTTTCATTTGTTTCAATACCGCAATACGTACCCCCAGCGCCCGAGGTGCTGCGCAACAAGGGCTACAACCGCTCCCTGGACATGTGGTCCGTGGGCGTGATAGTCTACGTCTCCCTTTCCGGCACTTTCCCCTTCAACGAGGACGAGGACATCAACGAGCAGATACAGAACGCCGCCTTCATGTACCCGCCGACGCCGTGGCGCGAGATATCGGCAGAGGGTAAGAGAGCAGAAGAGAGGAGAAGTAAGAGTTGAATTATGGTGGGGCCACGCAACAGTCTTAAGGTCTACTCTGCTGCGCGAATGGGCGGGTCCGTACCGCGACCTCGCAGAAGACCGGCCTGAAGGGGTTGTGGTATACTTCAGCGATTCGTCTGGTGAGCGAGGTAGCCGGAGTTCAATTTATTAACAGGTGAACCTTTTAATAAAGTGAGCTCCGGTCACCTCGCTCACAAAACGAAAGGCGGAAGCATAAAACTTCGACTTCGTGCCGTGGTACTTACCCGGACGGACCTGCCCATTCGTGCAATTGCGAAAATGTTGCGTGGTATGACTACACATATAACACACACACACATACACACACACACACATTTAGCTTTTCCATACGTGTAAATTCCTCGTTTGCTGGTCGATTGTGTGAAATGTTCACAAGCGAGCCGGCGGTTCACCTGATGTTAAGTGAATACCGCCGCCTGCTACACCCGAGGGTTACAGATGCGTCGACAGCCTTTTGAAAATTGAGCTCCGGCTAAATCGCTCACCAGACAAAACGCGTAAGTATTATACTTCCACTCGACGCCGGTCTTCTGTGAGGTCGCGGTACTCACCCGGACGAGCCTGCCCATTCGTGCAACAGCCGAGGCTGCTGCGTGGGCCTGCCGCAGTGGATTAAACGGATCTGTCGTCGCGGCCCCATCCAGCGATCGACCTGATCAACAACCTGCTGCAAGTGAAGCAGCGCAAGCGGCTGTCGGTGGACAAGTGCGCGGCGCACGCGTGGCTGCAGACGCGCGAGGCGTGGCAGGACCTGCGCGCGCTCGAGCAGCGCGTGGCAGAGCGCTACCTCACGCACCCGAGCGACGACGCGCGGTGGCACTGACCCCCGCCCCCGCACCGCGCCAGGTACGCGCCACGCGCTGCCACGCACCGCCACGCACCGCCACGCACCGCCACGCACCGCCACTAACAATAAACACTATCGCTTAATCAGCCCACTCACGGCTCACAAATTATTGCCCGATGACAGTTTTTTTAGAGCCAGCTTTTTAGACAGTTAATAGAGCCGTCATAGCTCAGTGTCCGGGCGCTCGCCTTTAATTCAATATACTCGAGCAACCTGAGTTCGATCCCCGGTGCCGGCACCAATGAAGTTTTTAACTTTAAGTGCTGACTTATCACGTGCTCCGCGGTGAAGGAAAACTTCGTGAGGAAACTTGCATATTTTCGAAATAATAACAAAAAAAAATATTTTTCGAAGATATGTGAAGTCCGCCAATCCGCAGTGGGGCCGCGTGGTGGACTATGCCCTGATACCCTCTGTATAGAGCAGGCCTTTGCCCAGCAGTGGGACATGTACTTTACTGACAGTTTTTTTAGAATCTCGGATTTCGGCGCACTTTGGCTTGATACCAGCAATCTCCACCATCACTGCCCCTCTCTACACACTTTACTACGCCTTTATAACCCCACTCACGCTCAAAATCGCCCACCATCACTGACTAAAAACTTTCACATTCGCTCGCGCCGCTATTGCGTGGGTCCTGATACCAATACCGGCAATCTCAACACCTCTCTCTACATACTACTAGGCCTTAATATCTCTACGATAACTCACAACTCACATTAACCCACCATTATTGCCCAAAAACTCTACTAAATTCACCCCCACCCATTCTCCAGCTATCAAGATATAGCAACACTTTCCCATTCGCACACGCCGCTACTGCGTGAGTGGTTCCCAATACAGTCATACAAATAAGACTAGGCCTGACCTCCCGCCATCTTCTGACATCCTAGCTGTCAATTCAAACCAGTTAGGTATGGTGTGCAGAGCAGATATTTACTTACAAATATTTTTTTTTTTACATAAATTAAAAAGTTTTATTCGGAATCTAGCACTTCAAATGCGTTCATTTCTGCATGCCTATCAGAGTAGTCATTATCATCATCATCACTGCTGCTTTCCCGTATGAAAATAGAAAATGTAAATACTGGCACTTATTTTTTTTAAAAAATACGCATTGTATTACTTGTGTTTATAATGCAACAAAAATTATCGTCGTCAATAATTATTTTTAAACCTAATTATGACTTCAACAGATTCGGTAATATATTTCATGAATATATTAGAAAGTTTCTAAATTTTCGCAGTGGAAAATTTACTTTATTTGCGAGTCTCACTTTTCAAATGACCTTTTTTACTGGCCGAAAATTTTTATCAATTTATCTGCGAAAATTCACACACTGAGTCACATTTGAAACTGACTCCACGAACGCACTCCAGCAGCAGCCCGCCACCGGAGAGGGCGCGAAAATCCCGTTTGAACTTCAAACGCAACCTGAAGATCATCCTGGTGAAGATAAAGCTGAGGCGCTAGGCGGCCATGTTGGCTGGGTGCGAGGGAATGCAGTAAACTTAGGTCTAACAATTACAATCAAATCCTTAGGGGATATAACACAGTTCTTGCGAAATGACCTAACTCTTCTAATATCATCGTTATGTACATATCTATAAAATATTGAACGAAAACTTTTTTCTCCTCAAGGAAACACGATGAGCGGTCCTTGATAGATAGGAATCGAAATAAATGAATGCTACAGATAAATACAATTACTGAGCATAAAATAATGAAAAACTTAGATCCACATTCGCAACATTCTATAACATCAATTCATTTTTAAATACTGACACGTATCGCTTATAACATTTATATTTCGTATGATGTAGCCTAAACCTGTTGGGCGTAATACATTTAACATTTGTTGCATAGGTCAGCTATAATTTTCCAGCAAATAATTTACTAGCTAAGTATAAATCAAATGAAATAGAGCATATAGTATGAAAACTTTCAAAATGGCCTCTCATGTAACATATTTTTTCGTTATATTTACACTTACTTTATTTTCATATTTCCACCTAAATTGAATGCTTTATTCAAGAATTAATAATTCTATTTTATAACTTCTGGACTGTCATTTCGTTTGTTAACGAAGTTCACAATTTTAACATGTTCCCTCTGTACATAAAAACTGCAATTATAAAATCCCATACGTGCATAAAAATTATATAATACATATACGAAATGATAGGCTGCTATATTTTTTACATATGATTTTTTTTAACAAAAGATAACTATAAAGTTTACAATAGTGTGCACAAAAGTACGGTACAAAACATTATCTAAAAACATATAATATAGAAACATTCTAGAGAACATATTAACAATGGTCTGATTTAAATCTTGTAATTTAAATTTAAAGATATATTTCTGACGTTTTTTTACAAAGTCCTCCGTCGTAGGAATATAGTATACATAGGAAAAAATCTTTGACAATCGCAAGATCGACGGGGATTTAAAGTTAAGAAACTATTTCCCAGTGGTAAGTTATGGCCTACAGTCATAAATGATATCTTGATCTTAAGGAGCTCCCTGGTGTGTCTCTGTTCTCCGGAATCTAATTAATTAGGTCCAATACAAATTAAATTAACATGGCTACAACATGAGCCTAAACCGAACCCAATGCAAAAATTATTTTTAAAATCTGTTCATAAATATTGAAATGTCTAAGGTGACGACCATAAACATTCAAACATATTCAGAACCTTTGAATCGGTCTAAAATCAAAATTGTTAATATCTTTGCATCACAAAATGGTCAATAACAATATTCAGTGACTTGCATTTTGTATCCATAACAGATTATTCTGATACCTACATAAAGAACTATGAAATAGTTATATATATTATTAGGTTTTTAGTCATTATTTGCTTTTTATATTCTGTTTCGCGCGATTTGTGTTATTATTGCCAGCTAAATTCGCGATGACAAAATCATATTCGCTTCGAGAAAACATTATTTAGCTCTAGATAAGTTTATTTTGAAACCCTTTAAGCGAACGGTACAGTTCAAAGGAACGTAATATATATTATTTTTAACAATTTTAATTTTGTTTTTCGACGTCACAAACTCTCAAAACCCTTCTTTTTATTTTTATTATCGTTATTTAAACGTGAGATGATGAGTTTTATCGATTAATTTGTGCTAAGTTATTATTTATTAACTTGTATGTAAGCGTTGATGTGAATAAAAGGTACATTCGTTTAATTTTTTATGTGTTTGTTATGTATCGCTTCGGTGTTTGTTTGTAAGGTTAGAAAATTATTTGTCATTATGCCGATCGTACTTATCCGTTTTGACCGTTGAAAAACGACCGAAACGATAAAACGAATAAATTAAAACTAAATTTTATTCGTCAACCTATAAATCTATTATTATAACAATCTACGTTCAGTAAACAAAACTATATAGTGCCGAACATGTTATTGAGAATGTTATTTTTCTTCTATTTACAATCGTTGCTTTTATACAATCTATATAAGTTAAAACTGCATAATAATTTTATTTCATGACATAATTAAATGTTTAACCCTTACACGTAGTAAAGTATTAGAAATAGTTGAAATCTCATATTATCCCCTTTTAATAGGAAATCTTCAATGTGAAATTTTAATCTTTGATCTAGTACTCTTTAAATAATGATGTTCTACAAATTTCTTCGGGAATAAATCTATAAATAGAAACTTTCATATTGTCACGTCTTCCAATTATATCCTGCACACCCAAAACCTTATGCCGCGTTGACGTGATCAAAGTTTTCATGGTCAAAGCAGTTTTGATAAAAGTTTACTTTGTAAGCACACCTAACAAAGTCTGCTTGGGTAGTTTTCTTCATGCTCCGAGCAATCAAAACAAAAAAACATCAGATGCGGCGTACAATTTTAACATACTGGCCACAATTGTTAAATATAACACAGCTTACAGAATCATACTTTGAATCATTTTCCATCTTGCAACGTATGTTGTAAAGTTAGAAAAATATTCAAAATCACTTTGATTGGCAAAACCAATCGCGATTCGAAGCGAAACGAATTTGCCGTGATCAAAATAGCGCAAAAGTAACTGTCAAATATATTCTATCTGAGAACGAATTGTGTCAACGCGGCTTAAAAAACTTATAATATATAATACAATATGTTATTCTAATAATATTCTTTCCCTCAATATTTCTCTTTCGGGGCAAGCTAATGGCCCATTTAGTTAGACGAGATTTACACTCTCGTGAAATAACGGCCTAAGTAGAATAGATAGGTTAAATGTATTAATCTTAAAAGTCGATCGTAATGTAATGATTGTATACAGTTTTTTTTTTTTTTTAATTTATTTTATAATTAAATAATAATTCCCAATTGTTATTTGAGCTTCACGTGATTGCCACCAGCCAGATATTGAAAAAAAATATATGGATTAATCCTAACCCAAGCAGAACACAGACAATAAGGTTCCGATGCTATTATAAGCAAATTTTTTATATATGAACGTTATACAATTTTTCTTCATATTCGCCGGCTACATGTGATCACGTGAAATATTATAGTAAAGATTTTGTAAAATAAGTGAAAATATATTAATTTTAAGCTTTTAAATTTCGTTTATATGTTTATGTTATAATCTATCGTGGTAAGCATGTTAATTAATACATACAGTCACCATAGTTTATTAATTAAATATAAGGCCTATAACTATATTAACGTTATTAATTAATAACCATATCTATACGGTAATTTTAAGTCCATAAATTATAAATGAATGAATGATGTTAATTTTATAATAATTTTATCAACAAGACGAGAAAAGTGCGAGCAACAAACAAAGAAAAAAACTGCAAGAAACAGTTTTTTTTTTATAACGTTATCAATTTCGCAGTGCCAACAATAGTAACTAGATCGTTTTTTAACGTTTAAAGATTTTTTTATACAATTAACGCATTTAAATATCTACGTAAAGTTATATAATTTTGTAAGGGCTTTTGATGAAA